AGTGAAGAAAACCCGTCTGGATAACAGCAGACGGACTCCTCGTAAAATATACGACAGGTCTGGACCACTCCTTTGTTCGTATCTGAAAAAAATCTTAGAATATGAAAACATTGGTGAATGTCACAAATTCTCCTAAATCACTCGTACGCACAACTTAAGAACAAATCTGTGCGTACCAACGGTTCTTGCATGAGGCCCAATGAATCTATTTATGTGCTTGCAAAAAATCTTGTGCGCGTACTTGAATGTTGATGTGCTTGCCTGAACCTTGCTGCGTGTACTCCCTTTATAAGACTGGATTAACTCCATACTATACGGCTAAACTAATTCAGCCTCAGCTACAAGTTCCTATCACAAAACAGTTAAAAAAACACCAAGTGGAGGCATTTGTTTTTACATAAATGATGGCTGGTGTACTGATGTTTCATTGATCCTGCAACACAGTTCTTCCAATCTGAAAGCTCTTTTACTCACTCGTCCTTGGCTCATGGGTTTGACACATGTTCTAATCTGTTACCTTTGTGTTTCAGATGATGACTTTGGACCTGGCAGCTAACATGCAGCAGTCAGATCAAACGTCCGGCTTCACTTCACCCTCTCACTTCAGCAGCCCGTCATGTCCTGCCCAGGTTCATCTCTACTCTCAAGCCAGGACGTCACTAACCCCTGACAGCATGGTGGAGGGCAGTCCTAAAACTGGAAACACAGACTGCATTTCTGATACCTCTAGTGTTTCTGCTGCCGGACCTTTGCCCACTAAAATGCAAACTTTGCGGACTGCACAAGAACTGCTCTCTACTACTAGGGATAAAACCCAGTTGTCCCACTCAACCAGCCAGCAGAACAGAGCCAACGTCCCCTTAAACAGTGAAGAAAATAGAAGTCGCACCCACACCACCACCCTGAAACCCTGCTTGGTTTCTGGTACTTCTCTGCAGCCTGCAGTCAGTTCACAAATGGAGAGTTCAACATCACTAGAGGATCCTGTTATTCTTTCTCTGTGAGTCTGATGTACTTGTTTGTCTTTGTTTCTATCGCGATGCCCAAGCTTAATTTGGGTACATGATACAGTTTTTACTGATTGGTTTGACCTGTTTGAAGGAACTGGGAACCTTTTAGTCTTCATCATCACATCTCAGCAGAGCAGAAGACACCTCCTTCAAATATGTTAACCCATTCTCATTGGATTGACACAGTTTTCACACACTTTTGCAAAACAGTTAATGCAGATGTCATTCAAGAAGTCCAAACTCCGTTTTAGCTGTGGTTACAGAAGAGAAACCATCTGCTCCAAGCTCTTAGAAACTCCCTGATCAGTATGAAATCACCGAAAGCACCTGTTTGATACTTCTTCACAGAATATTTCAGTTTTCGATCAGTCTGCAGGCCTGTGTTGTTCTTTGCAAGCATGGATTGAGGAGGTCTAAGGTTGTGAATGAGTGGTTTGCAGTGCACCCTCAGATGATGGTACAATTCCTTCCTCCATATTCTCCATTTTTAAATCCCATAGAGGAATTCTTTAGTGCATGGAGATGGAAAGTATATGATCACTGTCCCTATGAACAGATGCCCTTGCTCAAAGCAATGACTGCTGCTGCCCAAGATATAGAGGCAAAGGCATGTCAAGGATGGATCAGGTATGCTAGACGATTTTTCCCTCGGTGCATTGCACGAGAGAATATTGAATGTGTTGTGGTTGAGGCCATGTGGTCCATTCTTCAAGAAAGAGGAGACTAGAAGAGAAAGAAGAGTATCACTTGTGCCTATCTCTTATACCAGGGGTGCCCAAGCTTTTTGGAACCAAGAGCTACTTTTGAAGTCGGCACTTTCCCAAGATCTACTCGTCCAGTCTCATGGCTCGTTCACACCGAGAGCGTTTTGAGCGGCAGGAGCTGCCAGTTTACATGCAAAGTCTATGGCGAACGCGCCTCAAGGGGTTGTGCGTCGCGCCATGCGCGTTATGAGCAACGCGGAAGGGGCGGCAGAGCGTTTTCCGAGCATGCGGTAGCAGCTGCCGCCGCTCGAGTTGAAAAATCGGAACTTTATCTGAACGTCGCCGCTCGCCGCGTCTCGACAACCAATCAAATCTGCTGTGACGTGGTGGCGAGGGGACTGATGTTCAACCCTGTGTGACGTATTATTTATGAGACGCAGAAACTCGAGAACTGGCGCGCCATTTCATCCGCCATTTTACCACACAACAACAAACCAGACCGGAAAAAGAATCAAGACGCTCCTCCCACACCCCGACGCCGCCGCAGCTGCCGCTTCTCGTTCCGGTGTGAACATACGTCCAAGCAGTGCGTCCAACTTGAGGCGTTTTGCGCGTTTTGGCAGCTCAAAACGCTCTCGGTGTGAACGAGCCATCAGTATAAAAAAAACATAATATTGTCTCCCTACTCCTCACTTCTTTAAATAAAACAGAATATAATGTGTTGCTGGTTTTATTTAATTTAAAGTATTGTCAAACAAAACTATCTACTTAACCATATATTTACCTACAAAAAAAGATAAAATCCTTACTTAACTCCTGACAGAGAAACAGAAAAGTGATGCTCAAACAAAAAAGATCATTTTTTACCTCCTTCAGTTAGTACTCACTGTAACATGTGAGCTGTGAGGGCTGGAAACCTGCACACTGTGAACCACAGAGTCAAATAACTTTGGAGCACGGGAACTCGTCTCCATTTATTCAAAAAACTCTCCTCTCTTCTCTCCGTACAGGGGAGGAAAAACAAAACATAAAACTAAAGTCAAACCACATACTATAAAACTCTCTTGTTTCTACTATTACAAAAAGTGACTTACGATGGTGCAGATTCACAAATCAACAACTATTTCAAATCTCCATCTCTGTGCAGCAGGTTGGTGTCATCTGTAGGTGCTGGTCCTCACTGGTCCAGACTGCTGGCTCCAGACCATTCAAAGAGTTCCACCTGTTCACCACCTATAAGACAAGACACACAC